AGTAAACGGAGGATTGAAGTGCCACGTACCTGGGGATGGCACAACGGTGTCCTCCTCTTTGTGACCTCCTCTGAAGGACTCCCAACACATGTTGAAAAGCGTAAGTGAGAAAATGGAAGTTTGGGAGTGTATTTGTAGCACTCTCCTACTGTTTTCAAGGTAAGAGAATGTTAGGGCTCACCGACAGATGAACAGGCAGTTCAGGGTCATGGTCATGGTTAACATGATCATATTTGGGTTTATAACCAGATAGACTAAGTTATGGGAATTCAGAAAATTCTACATTCTGCATTAGGTCAGGATGTTCAAAATAATTATGTGATATGAGTGAATGCAATTTGTATCTTAGGTCAAATACATATTTTTAAATATCACTGCCTATATGCTTTACACATGCCTACATATGCTGTCTGTGCTTGCAAGCATTGTGTATCGTATTATTCACAGTGTTATTTGTCATGGAAGACCCCACTGCATTTTTTAAAGCAAAGCAATCGGTCTATCTACAATTAGAGTGAAGTTACCCAAGTGCAAAATGTAGGAGTTATTTAACAAAATACAGCTACCTTACACAAAAGTATATGACAGCGAATGAAGAATAACAAATGCAGTTGAAAATGTAGGAGGAATTTGTAATGTAATTATCAAAACTTAAATTTGATCTGCCTTGGCAAAGTGAACAGGGAACTGTGAAGGGGGGAAATGCGAATACCAATAGTTGTACATTATTCCATAGAACTATTTTGGTGTATTTATTTCTTGGAGATTCTGAGGCAAGAGTGCCTGCTTACATATACTAGAACTGAGGCATGACAGCGTAGTTTACTTTATGAAGCATCCAACAATAATAGCACGAAGGAGCACCCTGTCAGGTCTCTGATACACTTTTTCCACTAGCATTGCTGATATTCATGTGCCTGGCAGGTCAGACATTTAAGTATCTGCCCATTTCTGATTTCAGCATATTTTAAAATTCTTGGGAGTATTTAATCATAGTGATTGACTTAATGGTCCTTGCCAAGTCACTTTCATCCTTGACTGGTACCCAAATGATCAGTAAGCTTGACCATGCCAAAAGAGGGGAGAAAGAAAGAAGGAGAGAGGAGAAAGAGAAAAAAGAGGGCAGGAAAGAGAAAGAATGAGGGAGAGAAAGGGAGAGAAAGAAAAACACAAAGGGAGGAAGAAGGAGTGAGAGAGCAAAAGAAAGAAAGAGAAAGAAGGGAAGAGAAGGAAGAGAGAAGAAGAAAATTAACTTTATCCCAGCCGAAACCAGGACAGAAGGGAAGGAAGGAAGGAAGGAGAGAGGGAGGGAAAGAAAGAAGGGACGGAGGGAAGGAAAAGTAAAAGGGAGGAGGAGGAGGACACTATATGAATATGAAACATATAGCGTAATCTACAGCTTGAACCCAGAATCACTCAAAAGGTTACGGAACACTAGTATTTAACAACAAAACAACCACAATAAAAATGTATCACAGTGTTTGAGGATTGGAGTGGGGGGTGTTCTAGAAAGAAATTCAAATCGATCCCTAGCATTAACACTATCAAATGTGCCTAACATTTGCCTTAGTACCTGAAGTACTATTTTTAAAATGCATCTAAATTACTTGGAAACCTAAGGGGCTTTGAAAATTAGTAGGAAGTTGGCCACAAAAATTCCTTGGGTATCCCATTTTTAACCGTAAGCATTTCTTCGTTCACATTTAACATCTAACTGATGAGCCAAAATTTCATTTTAAGAAGTAATACAGATAACTCACAGCATAAATCTTACTGGATGTCAAAGAGACATGACTTCTAACAGCATCAAAATAAGCCTCCTAAATAAGTTAGGTATTGAAGTACTGAGCAATGCAATGCATGAATTAGAAACAGTAAGTCTAGGTCTTCAATATCTATTTCTTATCCTCCATAACTGATAAAGTATTTACTCCAAGGAGATTTGAGTTCCAGAGCTGGAAAGTGTTCTTGGGGGAATAAGGGCAGAACTTTATTCCAAGCACATAAAAAAAGCTCAGTAGTAGAAGTGAGGCCATTCGTGCTATTCTGAAAGTGCAGGACTCCCTTCAGTTTTGAAACGCTCTTGAAAAATGGATTCGTTACATGCATACATACACGCATAAACGTACATACATGCATATAGTAAAGAGAGATATATTGGAATTCTTTTAACGAATACAGTACACAGGTTCTGAATAGAGTGATTTTCACCCATCCCACATTACCTAAAGCAGGGACCACTGAAATTTTGTCAAAAAGTTGATCCTAATGTGGCACTGCCCTTAACACCAGTACAGGGCTTGTATTACTTGTGAGATCACATTCCTGAGCTGCTGCAGAGGAAGAAAATAAGCCCACCAAGTTTCAATTACAATAGTCACTCTCTAAGACTTATGTGTCTGCAACAGAGGGCTGTAGACAGTACACGAGGCCATGAAATATATACCTTTGCTTCTCCCCAGTAAACAAACCTGTATGGACCCGATGGGGACGGTTAGTGTCAGGACTTGCAGCTAAAGATAGTCTTTCCTCACACCAGCTACAAGCAGTCTTACAGCTAGAGAGACGAGTTCAACCAGCCATATGCAGGGCCACACTCTGCTAAATACTGTTGGCTTCACTAAAACAGGGCATAGTTGTAAGTAAAGGTGGAATGAAGGCACATATTGCTTGCCCCTACACCCACATGGGAGCAGACTCATAGCCATGCTAACTTCCTCTTTCACATTGTGCTTTGGGAGTAAAGGATGAATCATTACCTTTCCAGATTCCTTCACTACTATTTTCTATGATATTGTGATACTACTGCATATATCTATATATAATTGATATATACATAAATATATGTTCATACAAATTTGCATATGCACCTACACATATATAGAAAGCCTCACATCACATCCACACCCCTGTCGAAAACAGTTCCTAACCAGGACACAGCTTTCCACAAATGCACGCCATGCACATACAAAAACCAACACACTGTTCAACATGGGGAAATGCAAAACCCTGTGCAAACACACATGCAAAGATCCATGCTTCGTGACTGCCTGCCTGCCAAAATTTCCCAGCTCACACACTCGTGTACGTCGGCACTTCACTTCAGATTATACCCATGCACTCAGACACATGCACATGTGCACATATGCACCATATACACATCCACATAAAAATGTACAACGTACACATGCAAACCGATATGAATGAACACATACATACACTGGTGCAAGACAAAAGCATGCTCAAACACAGAGGTACACACATGTTGATGTGTAAGAACACATGCACACATATGCACACACACACAAAATACAGGTACACTCAGAGGCACAGAAACAGATCCATGCACACTCACACACACACAGATGCATGCACACATACACAAAAAAAAACATGTGCACACATGCACTCATATGCACAGAATCACACAAGCACAGATGCACACACAAACACATGCACTCACATACACCGACGCACACTCACACACCACACACATGCACACATGCAGGCACCCACATTCCACATGACAGCACATGCATGCACACAAACACATCCACACAGGCACACGCTTGCACAGACACACATGCACGTGCAAACATTCACAGGCACAAACACACATGCACCCAAACACACACACAGCTAAACACACAGTCACCCACACAAAAAATGCACAACACATGCACTAACACAAGCAGACCCTCGCACCATAGGGTCAGTTACACACACGTGCACACACATGTACGCGCACACACACCCTGAGGCACAAAAATGCACCACCCACACACACACACCTCGAACAAACACCTCCGCACACCCACTCACATGCACACCCCCGCACGTCCCCCGCACCGCAGGCGTTGCTCGCCCGCCCCCTCCGCACGCTCCCCCCAACGGAGGGA